GATTGGTGGCCAGCGAGTCCAAGGAAAAGGCATTTATTTTGGATAAATCCGTTTGGGCTAGATTTTTTAGTTTCGACATGATTTGAACAAAAAAAAAAATAATTTCAAAATTGACTTTTTTATGTTTTTAAAAAAATAATTTTTGAAAGTCTCATCATTTTTTTAAAAATATATTTTCAAAGCGTGGATTTTTTAAAAATAATTTTTCAAGGCGTCGATTTTTTAAAGAATATTTTTTCAAGGCGTGGATTTTTAAAGAATATTTTTTAAGGCGTGGATTTTTTTAAAAATATTTTTTTCAAGGCGTGGATTTTTTAAAGAATATTTTTTCAAGACGTGGATTTTTTTAAAAATATTTTTTTCAAGGTGTGGGTTTCTTAAAAATATTTTTTTTCATGGCGTGGGTTTCTTAAAAATATTTTTTCATGGCGTGGGTTTTTTAAAAATATTTTTTCAAGGCGTGGATTATTTAAAGACATGGATTTTTCAAAATATTTTTTGAAAGCGTGGATTTTTTAAAAATATTTTTTTCAGAGCTTGGATTTTTTAAAAATATTTTTTCAAGGCTTGGATTTTTTAAAAATATTTTTTCAAGGCTTGATTTTTTAAAAAAAATTTTTCTAGTCGTGGATTTTTTTTTAAATATTTTTTCAAGGCGTGGACATTTTAAAATATTTTTTCAAAATATTTTTTAATTTAAAATATTTTTAAAATATTTTTCAAGGCGTGGAATTTTTAAAGTATTTTTTCAAGGCGTGGAAATTTTAAAATATTTTTTCAAGGCGTGGAATTTTTAAAAACATTTTTTAAATGCCATAGCAGTGGATTTTTTGAAAATATTTTTTAACCAAATTTTTTTAGACCTGCCATAGGAGTGGTTTTTTTAAATATTTTTGCAAACGTCTTTCATATATGTGGATTTTCTAAAAATATTTTAAAATTTAAAAAAAAAATTCAAATGACCTAACTAATTATTTGATTATAATACCCCTTTTTATTACAATATTGTACTCTTATTACATAATATTACATGTTATATAAATATATATTTTTGGTTTCTAATTTCATTACTCCTCTTTTTTTAAGAAATTTCCTCCCCTATTTTTTCTCCTGACTCAATAATGGTATGATATTCTCCAAAAACCATTTCTTATCAAATTGTAAATGATCACCTTCGGTAGCCAAAAATACCAGTTTCTTATTTATGTCCATTTGTCTGAGAGCCAGCTGTAAGATATGAAAAAAAATATTTTTAAATTTGAATAAAAATTGAAAAAAAAGTAATTAATTGGAGTATTGAGTGCTGCTATAAAATATTACAAAAATTCAAAATCTATACAAACCTGTTCATAAACTTTACTCTCTTTCAGTGGTAAAATTTCCTTATCCTGACCGGGTTTGTAAAATTCGAACCATTGCGATTCCTTTGGTTGGACAATTGTGTCATTTAGAAATTTCACCATAACAAACCTAAAATAAAATAAATTTAAGGCATTTTGAATTTCATTAAAAAAATAAATAAAGATATATTTATACTTGTCCAAACGATTCAAGTGCTCCGCATATACACCATTGGCAAATACTTCATTATTAATATCGGCCAAAAATGTGCTATGGGCCATATAATCCGTTTCCTTGAGCGGATCATGCCAATAGGTGGCCTGTACCAAATCCATTTGAGCCCATTCTTCATAGGCTGCCGTGTTCAGTATGCGTCGTATGTATTCACATGTTTTCGACGACAGCGAGGGACATTTGGGTAAACCAAAAACTCCTTGATGTTGACCACCCATCGATATTAAAACTTTCATTGGTGGTGTGGGACAACGTTGGGCCAAGGCACGTCTATAAATAATTAATTCTTATGTATTCTATTGTTGTGTTAAGTTTATTATTTTACTCACAAAAACTGCCCACCCTGACTAAATCCAATGGCATTATAGCCATCTTTCAATTTCTCATCTTTAGCCAATTCCTGGCAAACATAATCCACTTGTTTGTTGGGATGTATAAAGAATCCACTTTCGTAATCCATAATTAAATTATCACCAATTCGCAAAGATTTCACATAGGTTTGATTGAGTTCCTGTTCCAATAATTTCTTAATGGAGCCCAGACTGAATGGGAAACAACAAGTGTCTCCTGTAATATAAATGCAAATTTTGAATTTAATTAAATAATTTATTTATCCAAATATCTATCAATTTACCCATTCCATGCCACATAACCACAGGATATTTTTCGCCATTTGTTGCTGTTGCTTGATTAATAAATATTATTAACAAGAATGCCAGAAATATATTCCAATTCATTTGTTAATTAAATTTTAACCCTTTCTTATCACTAATAGAACAAAGAAAGCCAACAATTGTCTCGAACTATTGACCGGTACGGTACCCAACTCAGTTGTGATTGCCTTTGTATTTGCAAAACAAACAAAAAAATGCAAAAATGAAGAAAACAGCTGATGTGAACATATGGTTTCCTTTGTAAACACCATGGCCGGTAATAATAAAGTCGTCCGATAAGGCCAGATCAAAAAATATTTGTTAAAAAATCCACGCCTTGAAAACATATTTTTTAAAAAATCCACGCCTTGAAAACATATTTTTTAAAAAATCCACACCTTCAAAAAATATTTTTTTAAAAAATCCACACCTTCAAAAAATATTTTTTTAAAAAATCCACGCCTTGAAAAAATATTTTTAAAAAATCCACACCTTCAAAAAATATTTTTAAAAAATCCACACCTTCAAAAAATATTTTTTTAAAAAATCCACACCTTCAAAATTTTTTTTTTAAAAATCCACGCATTGAAAAAATATTTTTTAAAAATCCACAACTTAAAAAAATATTTTTTTAAAAAATCCACGCCTTCAAAATGCATTTTTTTTTAAAAATCCACGCCTTGAAAAAATATTTTTTTAAAAAATCCATGCCTTGAAAAATATATTTTTTAAAAATCCACAACTTAAAAAAATATTTTTTTAAAAAATCCACGCCTTCAAAATGCATTTTTTTTAAAAAATCCACGCCTTGAAAAAATATTTTTTTAAAAAATCCATGCCTTGAAAAATATATTTTTTTTTAAATCCACGCCTTGAAAAATATTTTTTAAAAAATCCACGCCTTGAAAAATATTTTTTAAAAAATCCACGCCTTGAAAAATATTTTTTAAAAAATCCACGCCTTGAAAAATATTTTTTAAAAAATCCACGCCTTGAAAAATATTTTTTAAAAAATCCACGCCTTGAAAAATATTTTTTAAAAAATCAACGCCTTCAAAATATATTTTTTTAAAAAATCCACGCCTTCAAAATATATTTTTTTAAAAAATCCACGCCTTTAAACAATATTTTTAAAAAATCCACACCTTCAAAAAATATTTTTTTTAATCCACGCCTTGAAAAATATATTTTTTTTAAATCCACGCCTTGAAAAATATATATTTTTTAAATCCACGCCTTGAAAAATATTATTTAAAAAATTCACGCCTTGAAAAATATTTGTTAAAAAATCCACGCCTTGAAAACATATTTTTTAAAAAATCCACGCCTTGAAAACATATTTTTTAAAAAATCCAGACCTTCAAAAAATATTTTTTTAAAAAATCCACGACTTTAAAAAATATTTTTCAAAAAATCCACACCTTCAAAAAATATTTTTAAAAAATCCACACCTTCAAAAAATATTTTTTTTTAAAAAATCCACGCCTTCAAAATATATATTTTTTTAAAAATCCACACCTTGAAAAAATATTTTTAAAAAATCCACGCCTTGAAAAATATTTTTTAAAAAATCCACGCCTTGAAAAATATTTTTTAAAAAATCCACGACTTAAAAAATATTTTTTAAAAAATTCACGTCTTAAAAAATATCCTTGAAAAATAGGCATTGAAAAAAATATTTTTTAAAAAATCCACGCCTTGAAAAAATATTTTTTAAAAAATCCACGCCTTAAAAAAATATTTTTTAAAAAATCCACGCCTTGAAAAAATATTTTTTAAAAAATCCTCGCCTTGAAAAAATATTTTTTAAAAAATCCTCGCCTTGAAAAAATATTTTTAAAAAATCCACGACTTGAAAAAATATTTTTTAAAAAATCCACGCTTTGAAAATATATTTTTTAAAAAACCCACGCCTTAAAAAAATATTTTTTAAAAAATCAACGCCTTGAAAAAATATTTTTTAAAAAATCCACGCCTTGAAAAAATATTTTTTAAAAAATCAACGCCTTGAAAAAATATTTTTTTAAAAAATCCACGCCTTAAATTTTTTTTAAATCCACGCCTTCAAAAAATATTTGAAAGATCCACGGTATAAAAAAATTTTTGAAAGATCCACGATATAAAAAAACAATATTTAAAAAAAAATCCAAGACTTCAAGACTTAGCCCATAAGCCAAAAAATATTTTTTAACTACTAAATATTCGCCTTGAAAAATCTACAAATTAAAAAATGTTATTTTAAAATCCCCTGAAAAAATCATTAAAAAATTGTTGGATAATATTTTTAATAAATATCCATGCTTTTTATAAATGTTGGCATGGTTAACTTCCAATTGTAACAGATTAATCTTTTCAAAGTAATTGAAGTCATGTGGACTAACTAGAAAAGTGTCTGATGGTTCATTTTAGTGAACCCATTTGATGTTCATTTCTTCTATGCATCTTTCCATGCCTCCTTCTAAACAAAAAATACTTTTCGGTCGTTACGCTTTACACTCATTCGTAAACAATTCGAGTCCGTCGGCAATTTTGTGTGTAGTTCCCTTTTTTATCAGTCATTCTTTCCAGTATCTTTCTATTCGTAGCATGTGGAACGTTTTTAAATTTGGTTGGCCAAAAGGTATAACAAAATTGGGTTTTGGATGGATATGATTGATTGGAGGACCAGATATAGGATAACTTCATATATCTTCGTATTTTTTAACCATAATAACTGGAAAATAACAAAAGTTGCATTCAGTTGAAGGGATCTCTCACCAAAACACCCCGATCATGACCGAAACAAAACCCCTTCTGTGTCGTCTGTGTTTGAAATCGTGTGAAGGACATTTGGAATATCTGTGTGATGGCTATGGTCAGCATAATGAAAAATACTCAATCACCATTGAATATTTTGATTCCATGCTCTTTCAAGTGGATGATCATCTAAAGGTATTGTGTATGGATTGTTGGCATCACATAGAGGAATTTCATACATTCCAAAAGGCAGTGTTGGAATCCAGATCTAAATTGGAAGAACTGCAACATGGCTACACAGCTGGTATACCAGTTAAGGTAGAGGCGGAAGAATCATATCATAATGGCGATGACCAATGGACCAATGTTGGAGGTGATGTAAAGGGTATGGAAGATGAGGAGGAGGGTTGTGGTGCAATTGTCAAGGAAGAAGTTGATTATCACTATCCAGACACTTTGAAAGGTAAATTTTGAGATGTGCTTAAATGAAGAAAATATAGTTTATCATTTTTTTCAGATAATGATGTTTTCAATTACTCCAGCTATACAATAAAAGATCTCAATCCATGTAATAGTGAGTTAAAGGATACAACCAAAACCGCTTGGGAAAATAAAAGCTTTAATCAATTATTCCACACTACTGAAAGGGATAAGCAAACTGCTGGGAAGCTTGGGGGGACAACGGAAGCTTCCTCATCAGCATTTTCAAAAATTACTCCAACTAAAAAACCCCGATTGCAAGGAAATGATAAAAATCCCGTATCCAAAATTAAAAAGGAAAAGAAGAATTTGGAACACACACTCTCACCTGAATCTTTGGATTTAAGTGCCTTTGTAAAGGTACCACAAAAACGTCCACTGAAAAGTAAACGTGAAGAAGAACTGGACAATATCATCGCCCAATGGAAATCACAATTGGCTTGTATGAATTGTCCTGAATCCTTTGCCACATATACCTTGCTCCATGAACATTTCAAAGAATGCCATAGTAATGAGGAATTTTTCATACAATGTTGTGATTTGAAAATTAAAAAACGTGGCCACCTTGTGGAACACATACGCATGCACATCGACTATAAGGCATTTAAGTGTAGCATTTGTGCGAGGCGTTTTAATCGCAAACGTAATCTACAGGCCCATCTGCAACGTATGCATAATATCAATGATTTGGAAAATCTTTCGTTTAGTGATGTTGGGCCAGCAATGGACACCTTCGGCTATTGCGAAACAATTGAGGATAATGATCAATTTATTGCACAATATTTACCCAATATAGAATGTGTTGTATGTAAGGATACATTTGCCACATTTACTCTATTGGTGGAACATTTTCGCCAACAACATTCCAATGAGGAGTGTCACATTCTCTGCTGTGGTTTTAAACTCAATCAACAATCCACGGTGGTGCAGCATTTAAAGGCCCACACACATCCAAGGAAATATAAATGTGAATTGTGCAATGCCTGCTTTACCATGCAACATACCTTGGATTATCACATGCGCATGGAACATCAAAATACCCAAAATGGAGGTGGTATAATCTACAGCGATGCTATTGCCATAGAAGACAACTCTCTGGCGGAAATCAACATGGATAAATTTACAATACAAGAAAGTGATGATTTCATTGCACAATGGCTACCCAGCCTGGAATGTGAATTGTGTAGGGAACCCTTTACAACATTCACCTTACTGCATAATCACTTCCGCGATGCGCATCCCAGTGAAAAGTTGTCCATACGCTGTTGTGACAAAGCCTTCTTTACTCGTTCCAAAATCCAACGGCACCTTTGTGTACATTTACAAAATAAGGCCTTCAAATGTCAGCTGTGCGGCAAACGTTATTCCAAAAAAGCCACCATACAAACACATATGCTGAAACAGCATTATGGTAACATTCCAAAGGCAAACACCAACCACAATGCAACAACCACATCCCAAGAGAACAATACGCCAAATAAAAGGAAATCCATTAAAGAACTTGATGAAATAATTGCTCGCTGGAGACCAACATTGGAATGTTTAGAATGTCGGGAGGAGTGTTCCAGTTTCAGCCTGTTACAAACACATTTTCGCCAACAACATCCCGCCCAGGTATGCTATATTTTATGTTGTGATTGTAAATTTGTCGGGCGCCATGATATCGAGGAGCACATACGTTATCACAATGATCCCGATGTTTTTAAGTGCCCCCACTGTGATCGTCGCTTTGCAAGGAAACGAGATTCAATGCGGCATATGAAAACATGTGCGGGTAGTGGGTCACTGCAGCCGAAACAGGAAAACCCGTAAATTAATTTAATTTAGTGTTGTATTTATACTTTTGAAAAGTATATTTGCGTGTGTGTATATAATAAAAAAAAAATAATTATGCAATAAAGTAGAATATTAAAAATATATGTTTGAAAAAAAAAAGTCTTTTTACAAAAAAAAAACTGTATAATATTTTAAACGCCTTCATATATATTTTATAAATTTATTTATAAAATATATTATAAATAAAAAATATTTTTTCTTTAACACTAGAACGCCGAAGGCAGTCATTTTGACCGCTTTCCAATTCCAAGTACAAAAGCAACTGTACATTTAATGACACTTTTTTTTAAAATATGGTGACTTTTTGTACATCATAGAATTGCGTTTATTATAAAAAATTCACCAAATTTAAAAAAAGGTGTCATTAAATGCACAGTTGCTTTTGTACTTGAAATTGGAAAGCGGTCAAAATGACCGCCTTCGGCGTTCTAGTGTTAAACGAAATAGGAATTATCAATGTTGTTGGAATTGAAAAAAAAAGAAATCGTGAATTTTTTTTGCTCCTTCCAGATCCTCAGCACGCTGTCTGTATCTGTCACCAGGTTACCTTCTTCATCTCTACAAGAGGATGTGCCTGCACCAAATCCTTCGGTTTGGTGTTTTACACGTTGGTAGAATTTCCTGACTTCATTCTGACTCCTCCTGTACATCACGATTTGCTCACGCTCACGTTTTTCTTGTTCTTTCTTCTTTTTTCTGAAAATACGTTTCTCCTCTCTTCATTTCTCCTGATAGTTCTCCATCGTATTACGTTTTGCTACTGTCTGCAGGGTTGCCCTACACGCTGGGTTTTTTTCATATCAGTAGCATTACGACACTAAGCTTCTGCTATCTGTTGTGTTTGCAGCTTTTCGACGTCGAGTTTCCGTGTTGTGTTAGATCGAACCTTTGCTGCAACATTAAGACGAGTGCGAACCTTGGCAGCCACAAGGTAATGGTCGGAATCGATATTCGCTCCTCGGATCGATCGGACGCCTAAAACACTGGATGAATGCCTTCCGCCTATTACAACATGATCGATTTGATTTATCGTTGCTTGATCAGGCGAAATCCAGGTGGCCTTGTGTATATCGCGATGCTTGAATCTGGTGCTGTTAACTACTATGTTTTTTGCTGCCGCGAAGTCAATCATCCACATGTCGTTGTCGGTAGCTTTAATACAGGGCATAATCATCTGATTTACTTACGCCAGTCCCATTCCATCTCATTTCCTGTAAGGCAATAATATCTGCTTTGTACTTTTTGAGTACATCCGCCAAAGCGAACACTGCGCCTGTTCTGTACAACGTGCGCACATTCCAAGTGCAGATTCGCAGATTTATGGTCCTTTATACGTTTGCGAGGGTCGTCAACTTTAAGGGGGTTTGGTTTTCTTTTCCGTTGCTTTTTCATAGTAGGAGGGGTTTTCCGAGTGTGGGCAACTAACCCGACGCCTCAACCCAATTTTTTATAGTTCTTATGGTTGAACTCGCGGCACATATCAGCTCACTATTTATTTATTTCAATCTTAACATGTATAACGAACGGGTGATGAAAATAGCTTCTCCTAGGTGACACCGCGGGGAGGTCAGTGTCCACAATTGAGATGAAAGAGGGACCAAGATAAGCCTGGACTTTGCCATGTTAAAGCCAATCAGAGCCGTTGCTTGGTATCTATCATCCCCTACGTAAACCTTCGCCTCCGTTAGGAGTTTCAAAAATATTTTTAAAAAAACCACGCTTCTGTTGGGAGCTTGTCTTGGTTCCTTAAAGAAAATATATTTAAAAAAAATCACACTTGAAAGAATAAAAATATATAAATTTATTTCAATTTTATTTATTCAAGATTTTTCAGTTCATACTTGAATTAAAAGTATAATAGTAACAAAAAACAAAAACATATTCAGTTTGTGGAAATTTTTTAAAAAGTGTGGGAATTTTCTTTCTAAAACGTTCAACGTTTTTCTTTTTTTTTAATCTAAACCTCATGCGTTTTCATGTGCAATATAACGCCACGATTACGCATAAATCGTCGTCCACATTGTGGGCACTTAAATGCATTTGGATCCTGATGATATTGTATGTGTTCGACAATATCATAACGTCCACCAAATTTACAACCACAACACGAGACATAACATTCGACGGCAGGATGTCTATCGCGATAGTGTGTGTGTAACAACGTGAATGTTTTATATTTCTTATGGCAGACAAGGCATTCCAAATGCGGCCTCCATTGCGCAATGGTCGCATCAAGTTCTTTAAGAGATTTCCTCTTATTTATGGGATTTTGAGTCTCATTTGTGGAGGAGCTAGGCGGTCCCTTGGTCATATAACTGGTTGAGGATGAAATGGTGCCAGTGTGTTGTTTGGTCATGTGAAATTGTAATCGTTCATTGCGGGTATATCGTTTGCCACATAGCTTGCATTTAAATGCTTTACTGTTTAGATGATCCTCTACATGGCGTTGCAATTTGGAGCGTTTAAAAAATTTACGGTCACAACACACGGCATAACTTTGTTGTGTGGGATGCTGTTGTCCAAAGTGGTCACACAATGAGGACAAATTTTGGAATTCTTCCTTACAAATATCACATGGTAAATTTGGCAACCATTTTCCAATAAAATCATCACTTTGTTTTATCGACATTGTAGGATCGCCATCATCATCGTCGTTCTCTGAAGAAGCGGTGCCATTGTCCCCAAGTTGACAGTTATTCTTTTTATGTTCCACACGCACATGATATTCCATTGCATGCTGCATGGTAAAACAGGCATTACAAAGCTTACATTTATGTTTGCGTGGATGGGTGTGTTTGTTTAAATGTTCCACTACCAGAGATTGGTTGCTCAAACGATAACCACAGCAGAGAATATAAAATTCTTCAGCTGCATGATGTTGGCGAAAATGTTTTTCCAATTGGGAAAATTTCGAAAACATAGCCTTACATGAGAAGCATTCGAAATTAGGTAAAAACTGGGCAATGAAGGTGTCATTATCTTTGATGGTTTGTCTTGATAGAACCTCCTCGCCATCACCACTTTCGCCCGCCTTTGGCACAATTTGCCTTGTCGAAATGTTATGCATTTTCCGCATGTGATAAAACAGATTACGTTTTCGATGGCAACGTATCTTACAATGGGGACACTTGAAAGCTTTGTGGTCAATGTGTTTGGTGATGTGTTCGGCAAGATGACCACGTTTCTTAATTTTTAATCCACAACATGGTACATAGAATTCATGTTTTTGACGATGGCGATCTTTGAAATGTTCCTGCAGTAGGGTGTAGGTGGCAAATGATTTTTTACAGACTATACATTCCAATTCCGGTTGCCATTGGGCAATAATATTATCCAATTCTTCTTCTCGGGTGCTTTTCTCGGGTCGCATCATGGGAGTATAATTTTGTATATCAGGTGGGGGTTGAACCTTTGTATTGTTTAATATTTTTTGTTTTTGTGTTACCTTTTTAACTTTCTTTATTTTTTTCGGAATTTCGTTATCCGAATCGTTTATATCATCTTCGGTGTCAGAGGAGTCAGGTGGTTCTATGGGTTGTTCTTTGATATGTTTTGGTTTAGTTTTTGTTGAGGAAAGTTCAATTTTCTTGTTGGTTCTTCGCTTAGTTATCGAACGCATTTCCTTTATTTTCCAACTTTCTTTTTTAATTCGATGGGATTTTCGTATGGGAGAATTTTCCTCTGCCTGCAAGAAAAACAAAAATACGTATTTTTTAATTCAAAGTGGCTGGAAAAATATTTGTATGTAATCCCATCAATTTCCCTGAGCCATATTTTTAAAAATTTAAGACTAATTATTTTCCGTTAAAAATATATTTTTTTAATCCATGGATTTTTTTTTATTCTACGCCTATTGGACCTTAAAAATATATTATTATGTAAACCTCACCTATCGAAGGTCCCTTCAAAATATTTTTTTTGGAAATCCTCTCTTTTGATTTTTTTTTAATCCCCACGATCTGCGAATCTGCACTTGGAATGTGCGTACCTTGAAATACAAAGCCGATATTATTGCCTTAAAGGAAATGCAATGGAAAGGTACTGGCGTAAGTAAATCAGATGATTACCCTGTATTATAGCTCTCATGAAACGAGACATGAATATGGCTGCGGATTTATGGTTAATAGGAAAATAAAATACCTCGTCTCCAGATTCATTCCAGTAGATGAGCGAATTGCTATAATCCGAATAAAAGCGAAGTTCTTCTATATAAGTCTTATTTGAGCTCATTCAGCCTCCATGAAGAAACATCAGACAACGGCATGAGGTTGATTGACTTCACGGCACAAAAAACATGGTAGTTAGCAGCACCAGATTCAAGCATCTTGATATACACAAGGCCACCTGGATCTCTCCTGATCAAGCAACGAGAAATCAAATTGATATACGGAAGACATTCATCCAGTGTACTAGACGTTCGATCGATCTGAGGAGCGAATATCGATTCGGACCATTACCTTGTAGCAACCAAAGTTCGCACTCTCTTAATGTTGCAGCAAAGATGCGATCTAACACGGAATCTCGACGTCGAAATGTTGCAAATACAACAGGTAGCCGAGGTTTACTCCGCTCAACTTACACACCTTCTTGTCCCGATAATAGTATAGAAGCACAATGGCAAATAATTGCCACCCCCTACAAACTGCAACAAAAGCAACACTTGGGTTCCAAAAACCACCACCAAGAAACCCATGGTACGACCAGGAGACAGTAGCAACACGTAATGTGATGGAGAATTATCGGGAGAAAAGGAGAGAGGAGAAGTATATTTTTAGGAAAAAAGAACAAAGAACAAGAAAAACGTCAGCGTGAGCAAATCGAGATGTACAGGAGTCAGAATGAAATCCGGAAATTTTACCAACGAGTAAAACACCAATCCGAAGGTTTTGGTACAGGCACATCCTCCTGTAGAGATGAAGAACGAAACATGGTGACAGATACAGACAGCATGTTGGGGATCTGGAAGGAGCGATTTG